GGGGGGGGGGCGGGGGCATAAAAAACACAGAGAAAAGTAAATCTATTCAAGTAAGGTGGGAGACAGTCACCTGGAAGAACGTTAAAGAAAGAATCCAACAAATAAAACATTTTCCTTTGGTATTTTCTTATATATGTCTACCTTCTTTTTGCATAAATACTTCTTTGTCAACTTTAAGTTTCTTGCAAGTTGAATTTGTATGCATTTTCTTTTTAGATTAAAAAATATGGTTTATTTAGAAAGTAAATTAGAGAGAGAAAGAGGAGATTCACCTCCCCAAGGTAGGGGAGGGGGCCAAAGCTTAACAAAACATAGCCTGACCATAGCTCAAACCACAGCTTAGCAAGGCAATGGCCCATTTTCTTCTTTTAATAGGGAAGGTTATTGAATTTACTGTCATCATGAAAGTATTATTAATGCCATTTTTCCTGTTACCTGGTTTTTTTATATGTGACTTTCTTGTTGTTCTAAACTCGTCCATGCTCTGATTGACAGAGAAAAATTATTTTTCCAGCTTTATTGACATATATTGACAAATTTAAAAATTGTATAATTTAAGGTGTACAACAGTGTTTTAAAAACGTATTTAAATGGAGTAATGAGTATTGTGGTATATATAAATACACACACACACACACACACACACACACACACACAGGCACACCGGGGGGGGGTGCCAAAAAATATATACACATTTTAAGAGTTGTTGTCTAAGTATTACTTTACAAAGTTGAATTACATTACAGTAGCAATGTGCGGTATGATGTCTGCTCAACCATACTTCCGCTATTTTCTTTGATTGCCCTGCCTATCATATGGTGACGCTAGCATTCATTTGATTAATGTCATCTTTTAAGTGACCATCATGCTTTAAATGTGTATATATTTTTTTGGCATATCATCATGTACTTATTCTTGTGATGAGAACATTCTAAGTTTCTTCTCTTAGCAATTCTCAAGTATACTATACATTAGTGTAAATTATAATCACAGTGCTATGCAATAGGCCTCCAGAACTTACGCTTCATGTCTCAACTAGAACTCTGTAACCGATGACTGACATCCACCCATTCCCTGCTGCCCTTCGCCACCCAATTCCCTAGTAATTAACCATTATTCGATTATCTGAGTCTATGAGTTTGACTTCTTCTTTTAGATTTCACATACAAGTGAGATCATGCAGTATTTTGTCCTCCAGGTTCATCACTGCTATCACAAATGACAAGACTCTCTTCTTTTTAAAGACTTAATAATATTCCAGCGTGTGTGTGTGTGTGTGTGTGTGTGTGTGTGTGTGTGTGTGTGTGACATTTTCTTTTTCCACTCATTCCTAGACGAACACTGAAGTTGATTCAGTCTCTTGGCTACTATAAATAGTCTTGTAACAAACTTAAGCATCCAGATATCTCTGAAATATACTGATTTCATTTCATCATGTATTTATTCTTGTGATGAAACATTTCAAGTCTATTCTCTTAGCAATTTTCAAGTATACCATATATTAGTATAAATTACAATCACTGTGCTAGATAATAGGCCTCCAGAACTTATTCCTCATATCTAAACTAAAACTTTGTACTCTTTAACCAACATCCACCCATTCCCTACCAAAATATCAATTACATTTTTTTACCATCAAATACCCATAAGTGGAAATTGCTGGATAAACGGTAGTGCTTTTAACTTTTTGAGGAGTCTCTATACTGTATGTCATGACGTTCCCACCAACAGAGCAGAAGAGTTCCCTTTTCTCCACATACTTGCCAACACTTGTCCTTTCACTTCGTGTGTTTTTAATAAAAGCCATTCTAACAGGTGTGAGGCGATACCACATTGTAGTTTTGATTTGACTTTCCCTGATGATTAGTGGTGCTGAGAATTTTTCATATGCTAGCTATTTGTATGCCTTCTTTGGAGAAACATCTATTCAGGTCCATGGCCAATTTTTAATCATCAGTTCTTTTGGTAGTTTTGTGTCATTGTTTATATTATGTACACAATAAATTTTTGTTTTGTTTTGTTTTAGCTATTAAGTGACTTAAGTTCCATATGTATTTTTGGATGTTAATCCTTTATTAGTTTTATGATGTGTAAATATTTTCTCCAGTTTTGTAGACTGCCTCTTCACTTGATTGTTTGATTTGCTGAGAAGCTCTTCAGCTGGATATAACACCATTTGTCTATTTTTGTTTTTGTTGCCTGTGTTTTTGTTATATCCAATAATTTTTTTGCCAAAACCAATGTCATGGAGCTTTTCTCCTATGTTTTCCAGTCATTTATAGTTTCAAGTCTTATGTTTAAGTCATAAGTCCATTATCAGTTGATTTTAAAATATGAAGTAAGTGCTCAGTTTCATCCTTCTGCGTGTAGACAGACAGGTTTCCCAAAAACATTTATTGGAGAGACTGTCCTTCCCCCATTATGTGATCTTGGAACGTTTATAGAAGATCAATTGACTGTAAATTCATTGATTAATTTTTGGGCTCTATATTCTGTTCTATTGGGCTATGTCTGATGTTACAGCAGAACTATACTGTTTTGATTACTTTAGCTGTGAAGTATATTTTCAAATCAGAAAGAGTGAGGACTCCAGCTTTACTCTTCTTTCTCAAGACTTTTTTTTTTTTTTGCAGGGGCAGGGTGCTATTCAGGGACTTTGTGGTTTAATGTAAATTTTAGGATAGTCTAATCTAATTCTGTGAAAAATGTTATTGGTATTTTGGTAGAGATTACACTGAATCTGCAGATAACTTTTCCAAGTACAGACATTTTAACAATATTAATTCTTCCAATCCATAAACTTGGGATATTATTATATTTATATGTGTCTTCTTCAACTTCTTTCATGTTTTATAGTTTTCAGTAATATAGGCACTTTACCTCCTTGGCTAAATCAATTCCTAATTTTTTAATGCTGTTGTACATAGATTTTTTTAAATTTCTGATTTTTAAAAAATTTCTGATTTAGATACTTTGTTATTAGTTTATAGAAGTCTATCGCTGGAGACCAATAATGCAATAAATATCTCACAATTATTCATAGCCTATATGTCTCTAATAGTCAGCAAA